GGGAACCTTCTTCTAGGTCAAACCTAGAGCAGAACCTGGGGCACTTTGCATTCTGCCTGGTCATGAAGAGACTCTGTAGGGGAGAGCCCCACTCTTGGAAGAGTGCAGAGGCTACTTCTGCATCAAGAGCCCATTTGTGGGGAGATGAGAAATGTTGTGAGAAACACACAAGTCCCAGAGCTGAATCATCTTGTGGCAGAGGGCCCCTCCCTGCCTGTTGAGCTAGAACCCAGTGCCATCTTGTCCGTGAGGACCCACCTGCCCGACAGGTGAGGTACGAATACTTCGCATGGCCTCTGAACAGCCCTGAGTTCCTTGACATTTATATCAAGGTTCGTTTCATCCGGATCCACTCTCCCTGCATCTGGAGTGTCCCCAGATGGGCACCATCCGATCAGTGCCATAGAGAGTCGAGCCAACCGAAAAGGGTGCTGAACATGACATTCTCCGGCACACGCTGCCTATTCAGGGACTGAAGTATCTGCATGGGAATGGTAAATGTCAAGGGACACATTCCAAATCTGGCAAGGCGCACTACATATGTGCATGCCACCATGGGACTCAGAAGGCAGACACACATCCTCGCTATGGTCCAGGGGACAGCTGAGCCTGTGCTAGGAGCATCACCAGGGCCTCAGATCTGTCTCAAAGCAGTGATGCTCTGGCCTTGCTGAATCCAGCACTGAGCAGAGGAATGGGAGTCTCTGTACTACAACTAATGTTGACTTTTTGTCCATTACTAGAAGACCCTGATACTGGCTCATGTCTAGGAGGACGATTTCCTTGTGGACTTCAGCTTCGCAGCTGCCCCTGGAAAGCCAGTCATCAAGACAAGGGTAGACCTCAACCCCTTGGTGCCTCCAGTGAGCCTCTACCATCACTATGCACTTTGTGAATACCCTTGGGACCTTAGCCAGCCCAAAAGGGAGGACTATAAATTAATAGTGGTTCAAACCTAGCGTAATCTGGAGAAATCACCTGTGATCCTTGAAGAGGAGAAGGGATAGTTCAGTGGTTTGAGCATTAGCCTGCTAAACCCAGGGTTGTGAGTTCAATCCTTGCAGCGACCATTCAGGGATTTGGGGCAAAAATTGTCAGGGATGGTGCTTGGTCCTGCTATGAAGGCAGGGGACTGGACTTGATGATCTTTCAAGGTCCCTTCCAGCTCTAGGAAATACGCATCTCCATTATTGTAAAATATATATATATTAAAGACTGCAATGTGGAAATATGCTTCCTTGGGGTTGAGGGTGGCATACCGGTCCCCCAGGTCTGGGTCAGGGATGATTGAAGTGAGGGAGCCCATGCAAAACTTGAGCCTCACTAGGTAGCGGTTCAAATCTTGCAGGTCTAGATGGGACAAAGGCATCCCATGGCTTTCGGGATTAAAAAATAATGGGAGTAAAATCCCTGATTTATGTAATGGAGCAACACCTCCTGGAGTAGCTGCTCTACTTCGTGCTTGACAAGCTTCTTCCTCTGGAGAGGAGTCCGTGAAGACGAACGGGGGGGAGGATAGCTTCAGCATATAGCAATGCTATCTGCTGTACTGGCCAAGACCCAAAGCAATATTGCGATGGTTCTCCAGGCTGGAGAAAAGAGCAGAAAAGAGCAGAAGTGGGACAAAAATAAGTGGGGAGATGTGGTAGTCTGAAGGTAGGTCATCCCTGGCTGTACGTTCCCCAAAAGGGAAGCTTGCTGAAGGGCACATCCCGGCTCAAGGAAGGTTGAGAGGTGGCTTGAAACTGCCTGCTTGGCCTCCTGCACTAGGACTAGGACTTCCCTGGAATCAGGTCCTGCCGGGAATAGGACCTCTTGGCATGGAACAGGCGAGATCCTAGGGTCTTCCTTCAGATCACACAATCTAGTGTTTGTGTGCTCTGCAAATAGAGGGGCTCCCATTTGCTGAGCCTCAGGAAACAATCTCAAGAGGAAAAAACAATGAGAAGTACTGTGGAACCTTATAGACTTAGGGTATGTCTACACTACAAAGTTAATTCCAACTAACGGACGTTAGTTCGAATTCACTTTGATAGGCGCTATACTAGCGCTCCGCTAGTTCGAACTTAATTCAAACTAGCGGAGCACTTAGTTCGAACTAGGTAAACCTCATTGCATTAGGACTAAGCCTAGTTCGAACTTACTAGTTCGAATTAAGGGGTGTGTAGCCCCTTAATTCGAACTAGTGGGAGGCTAGCCCTCCCCAGCTTTCCCTGGTGGACACTCTGGCCAACACCAGGGAAACTCTATTGCCCCCCCTCCCGGCCCTGGAGCCCTTAAAGGGGCACGGGCTGGCTACGGTGCCCG